GGAGAGGAGAGGGGGAAGGAAGGGAGACAGAGGGGGGAATGGGAGAGAAAAAGAGAGGGAGAAAAACTTATAGAACAATAAATTTGGCTTGTTTCTTTATGTTGTCCAGCGTCATTAGTTGCTGAGATGCTACCCCTGGGCTGGCCAACCTGGTCTCAGCCTGGAGGGAAGAGAAAAGGCCACCTGTGCCCACCTGTGGGGGGCTGGTGGGGAGGAGGCCACGGCCCCCCATCTCTGGGCAGAGCCGGGAAGGCAGGAGAGGGGAGACCTGAGATGTGGCCTCGGTGGGAAAGTGACTTCCGTGTCCGGCCTTCGTCCTGGAAGCTTCTTTTCTGCTCCTGAGTGCTAGAGGGAGATTTCCTGCGGAGCTCAGGGACCAACTCGGACAGCAGGAGGAGGCTGAACACTGACTGGCAGCAACAACAGACCCCCTTTGGGAGGCCTTTGGGCGCCCCTCCCACCCCTCCTTAGCAAGTGGGGGCGGGGAGCAAAGCAGAAAAGCTGCAGCTGAGATGCAGCCCTTCTGCGGCCGGCTGTGACTTATGGGCCGGAGAGTCCAGCTCTGCTTGAGAAATACTTCCAGGGCTGCTGTGAACCCCAAAGAGCATCTCAGCGGCCCTTTGAACAACTATCCTGCTTTCCCTTTAATGGGGGGCTGGCAGAGGCTTCTGGGGACCCACCTGCAAAGAGACCGGCCTTGTGGCCCCTGCTAGAGGTTCCCGGGGCCCACAGGCTGCAGTTGAAGAAACCCGGTTATGTGGGTGATGCACATCAAAACCAGGGGGGACATTTGATTACAATCCTGCCACTGGGACTGTTTGGCCACATCCATCCACCCATCCTATCCTTGGGTTCCACAGGGGGGCTTGTTCCTGACTCCTGGCTGCATCCACACAATCCTTGGCCTCTGGGTCCTGAGTTCAGATCCTCTCCATGCAGGATCAAATGCAAACCCAGCCAGGAGGCAGCTTAGGGTGCTTCCTGGGCCACCCAGACTGGGCACCCCCAGAGGGGCTGGCGGGGAGGGCCCCGAATGGAAAGCTGTCCGGGCACCATTCCTCCAGGGGCCACGGGAACCCCCACTTTTCCTCCATGCCCACCCTCGGCCCCCCTTCTGCTGATTTCTCCGGGGTCGCTCTCCAAGCCGCCTTCTTCTCACCTCCGCTGGCCTGGCCTTCCTCTAGGGATGCTGAACTGGGGGGGGGGGGGGGGGGGGGGGGGGCCCCGGGGGCCCCGGGAGGAATGGTGCCCGGACAGCTTTCCATTCGGGGCCCTCCCCGCCA